AAGCAGTGGTATCAACGCAGAGTACTGGCACTTCATAAAAGACATACTCTAGCTTGACTATAGCTCATACTCCCGTATTTGAGAAGATAAATGTCCTAAGGTATTGACACAATGAGGCTGTGAATCGCTCTCAAGTGATCACAGAGCACAAAGTATAGTGTATTGTAGTGGAAGTTCGGTACTCGTATTCGAATGACTTAGGTGCTTCTGCCTTGGCGGTTCGTAAAGCTATTGCTTGACATTTTTCATTTTTTTAGCCTCTTGTATTGAATCACGGATGAAGTTCAAAACGACACCATATGCTGGACTAGAACGTTCGGATGGCTTGCATACATTATGATGCGCCTGAGGTAAGTGACAAATAATTAAAAAAACTTCCAAGTAGTATTAGTGAACTAACCTCCTCTATGTGGTAAACGGCACCTCTTTCATATACAGCAGATTGTGTCGGAACGACTATACCTCTGGCCCTACCTGCAAAATTTATGATCATTTTCGAGAATATCTATTTTGAGATACAGAGGATTTCTAGATCGGATATCTCCCAGAGTAAGCATCACATACAAAACTATACTCTGCAAAACCTCCAACCCTATGCCAGGCAGCTCTGATGTCATATCAAAGCTTGATCGTGCATTTAATTACTTGGAGATGTGCTACCAATCTGCTGCGAGAAATGTTGCAAAGCAAGGGGACCACATAGATAGCAATGACAATGAAAGTTGGACTATGAGAGAGAACAAAAGTTTGAACCCACCGATGAGATTTGACAGCTTTGTTTCAACCATGCTTACGATCACGGGAACATTATCACTGATAGGGACAAAATCCTCGTTAAGCTTAACGATGATTCTATTAGCTAATACAGAACCGCTGAGTTGCACTTAATTTACCTTTTTGTTCACAGCATTTTCCTCATATAGTAGCAAAACATCTTGAGATGGATGCAATATAGAATAACCCCAAGCCGCTATCGGAGATCCACGATGAGGCGTCGCAATGAATAGTATGCCGACCTGAACAATTCAAAACACACTTAGATGTAAGTACGGTAGTATTCGGAAAACAAACCGTTTTAGCGGCTAAATTCGGAAGGTCTAAAAGTAGGCGTTTTGCTAGCAAACCACCAAGGCTGTGGCATATGAATATTATAGGCCTTCTACCAACTCCTGCAGCTTGTAGCTGATGTTCGAAGCGATTGGCTCTAACCTGGAACACGACATTTGATAAAACACCAAACTGTGACAGTGACAGTCACATGCGATAGTATATCAAAGATAATGAAGAGTATGAGACGAAAGTGCCACACAATTTTTACTCTTCTCTCCTCCCAGTTCGAGAAACTACAGTAATATGGATAGCACCGAAGTACATTATAACTAGATTTCCAAGAGACATTCTTGTGCATCTTTACGTCAATATAATGTTCACAGTAACCATAAATGATGAGCATGCTTACCTCCAAGCTTTCCATTGTCCCTGTGAAATGCATGAGATACGATGGATAATCTAAGCCAAGAATTCGCATGGGCTCCGCTATATCCAAATGTAACCAGTCCTCAAAAAAACTTGCTCCATTGAAGACCCCGAGATGCTAAGTATCTCAGAAAATAACAAACCTTCGGCCAGCAGTTGGAAACAACATTACTCGAGTGATCCTTCTGACGCCACGTAAAGGCCACCCCACCTCTTAAACCATGAATCAAAACAATATCAACCTGAATGCAGAAAGTGATTCGGCTAAAACATGTAACAGATCCACGCTCACTAAAGGTTCCCTGTCCGGCAAGAATAATTCGTAGATATCAGATCGTAGCTGGTAGTCAACTGCACCCAATGTACTCAAAGCATTCTGACAGATCTGAATATTTACTTCAATTAATGTATCGAGCCAGAAAAGTTATGCCATGCAGAGATGCTTCAGAAAGAAGACTACTCAAAGATTTATATATTCCAAGTTGTCAAACCTTATGAGAGATCAATCTTTCCTCCAGAGTTCTCCCGTGCACAACCATTGAAGCGAGAAGAGGTAACCATTCTGAAGAAAAAAAAATAGAATGTCACTATAACCATTGGAATCATCGACTGACCTGATGTGAAGATTGAGATCGCATACGATGGATTATTGAGAGCAACATTTGAAAGCGTCTTCAATGCAAGGATTGCTAACTCTTTGTTAATATCGCGAAATCGTTTGTACATCAAGTACAAGAGCTGTACAACTTCAGTGCCGATTTCCTTCGAGTCGAAAGGAATCTAGACCATCATAATCACAGCAAAAATATAAACGTGGTTTATGTCACACCTCTGTCCTGACATATATAAGGCGCAGCAGCTGTAACAGTCTAAACACTTGACTCGGATGGTACGTAAACCATCCTTCAGCACATGCAAGATCTTCTTCAGGGCAAGCTACTCTGAAGACTATATTCAGGCAATCGAGCACCCATTAATTGTGGCGAAATTCTTGAAAACACACCTATTCAGCCAAGCTATGCGATCCTCCCAAACTGGACCAAGATCGAACTAAACGAGAACTAATTAGAGAACATATCAATAGTACCATTCTCAGTATAACTAAAGCTGATACTCTCATCAATGTCCTAACATAAGCTGACTAACAGCCACACAAAGATATGAAAACTTTCTGTTGAAAAAGCTGTTCTCACAAAAAAAAACCACACACCTTGCTCAAAAGGGAAGAAAACGTTGGGTCGTCCTCATCATAAGTGTACTTAGTGACCGGAACATGCTCACATAGATCAGAGCCACGAAGAGCAAGGACTCCAAGAGCTGTAGGGCTCAAGGAGCACACAAAAGAGTTATCTGTAACACCAAACAAATGGGATGAGTTCTGGACTGGAAAGCAGAGAATACGACGATCCTTTACAACAAAAGTCCAAAGTTTACAGCACTTTTAATGACACCTTACAAAACACAAAGTAAACCTGACATTGAAGAACAACACGGTCTCAATCACTCTGCCGATGAGATCGAATAATACAACCCCATTCAACCCCTTTCGGAGATAAATGTACATAAACAGTGTTTGGTGTTTGAAATCTGGAGAGCATCCTATCACCATGTAGTCCAACGACAGAAGAAAGAACATTTTCTTCTTTTATACACTAGCCACAAGGATCTTTTGAATTCGAAGAGAAGAAAGTAGATTACGTGCCTGGTTTTATATGCTGAATGAAACGAAGTGCCTCCAAAGCATTCACATTTGCATTGAGCGAAGCAACTGCTTCTTCAACCGTTCGGATACCGAAAGCACTTGGCGAGCTGGAGTCAAAATACGACCGATAAGCTGAATATATGGCGCTGAAAGCGACCTGTTTGTTTCGGAGAATGTGTCAATAATGCGGATTTACATAGGTGTAAAAACTTACGATATAGCCACAGAAGGCACTATGTAACGAGCCATATTTCCGAATCATTAAGGTTGTTGTTTGTTTTAAATGGACAGCTGTGATGCTCCAGTCGAATCAGTGTGGGCAACATCAACTGGAGCAGTATTGTTGGAGAGGCTCGCAGAAAAAACACCGGGTTGCTGGCTCGAATGGAATCATAAATTGACTCTCTAAATTTCAAAGGACACATGCACTGGACTACTGAAACATTTAGAAATGCCGAGCTTTGCAAGCTTTTTTTAGAGGTAACGCTTTCATCTCAACAACAGTTTACTTTGAAAATAAAAAATGTAAACAACGGAACAACAACAACACCTGAGATGGTGGGTTGTGCTAAGGCAAGAGATTCTATTCACAGATCATTTCAGCCACGAGAAAAAACAACATGAAATTCGGAGAAAAAAGGCGAAAAAGCATGATATGGTACAGCAGAATAAATACGTTAATGTACGATCTACACGATCAGAGATATACTTGTCTTGATGTTTTTTGTTTGGGATTTGCAAATCCAAAAAACTCAAGTCTAGCGACTTTAGCTTTCTTTCTTCACCATCCCGTTACCATACTGATAGACAATCTACAAGCGATATATTGCACGCAGAGACTGGGTGCCATTGCGAACCTTGTCGGCGTCTTTCAGTCCAGAGAAATGCCTCTCGTCTCATGTCTCTTCTGTCTTACTTGCGCGCAACAGCTTGCAGTCTCTGCATGTGAAGAATGGTCCATACACGCACACAGAACTCAAAAATTTAGAGTGAGATATGATTTACAGGATGTAGAGAGAGTGACACTTTTTATGATCCCCTGCTGTCAGAACACTACTTATGCGGAGCATGCTTAGTGGGGCTGTCACCATGACTATGCGAACCGTGATAATGTCCATGGGTTTGCTTCTTATCCGGACTGTCACCATGACTATGCGAACCGTGATGATGTCCATGGGTTTCCTTCTTATTCGGGCTGTCACCATGACTATGCGAACCGTGATGATGTCCATGGGTTTGCTTCTTATCCGGACTGTCACCATGACTATGCGAACCGTGATGATGTCCATGGGTTTCCTTCTTATTCGGGCTGTCACCATGACTATGCGAACCGTGATGATGTCCATGGGTTTGCTTCTTTTCCTCGGTCCTGGGTGATCTTCCAAGCTCGCGATTCTGATGAGACTTGTTCTCCGAGTGTTTACCATCTTTCTTCGCTTCAGTCGGCGTAGACAAGGGAGAATTTTCGTCAGTTTTCTCGTTTTCTTCGAGGGTAGTAGATAGCCTGCGCGGGTAGTATGGTGTAGGAGGTCTAACAGGACTTGTCTTCACTACACGGTAATATGGTGTGGGAGGTCTATTTTTGATTGATCTGAAACGTCTCTCTTTATGATATTTGCGGGGTTCGTCACTTTCTTCAGGTGGCGTGGAATTTCCCTTCTCGTAATCCTTGGGAGGTTTGAGATCTTCATGATGTTTCCCGTCATTGTGATGAGTTCGCTTTTTGCTGGGAGACTTAGGAGACTTGTCGGGGTTTTTGGGTGAACCTGCCTTCTGAGAATGTCTGCTGTCGTCGTGTTCCTTGGAGTTTTGGAAAGACTTCGTGTGTCGAGGATGTGTATTTAGTTTTTTCCCGGCTTGGAAATTAGTCCCTTCGGTGGAATAGTTAGGCGACTTCGTCGTCTTCTGATGTTGATGTTGATGGTGTTTCCTCTCGTTATAGTAGTACTTAGAAGCTGCCTTCTCCTGGGAATGATTAGAAGTTTTGCCATGCCAAACGTTCCTGGTAGAATTTCCCTTTCCAGAATGTCTTGAAGCTCTCCAGTAACCAGAATGCTTAGGAGTTTTGTCCTCCGAGCGCTTGAGAGGCTTTTCGGTTTCTCCAGAATGTTTGGAAGGACCTTCTCCAGCTGGCTTCGTGCCTTCCTGCGAGTGCTTCGAAGTCCTTTCCCTGTCATCATGTTTGTGTGATTTCCCGTCCGAATTTTTAGGATGTCCAATCTCAAAAGGATGCCTTGGAGTCTTTATCGCTTGATCGCTGCTGCTGCCATGATCCTTGCGAGACCTCTTATGCTTGCGCTTCCTATGACGTCTCTTGTGCCCGATCTCGTCAGGATGCCTGGGAGTTTTCAAGACTTGGCTGCTTCCGTCTCCGTGCTCTTGACTGCTTGCGCCTCCTATGAACGGATCGCTAGCTGAACTGTAAGTTGTGGTGATCGTGCTGGGACCGGTGAGCACCGAATCAGATTCAAAGCTGTAGCTAGTCGTGACACGCTCACTTCTCTTTGAGCTAGAACTCTTTGGATTTCTTCCTTTTCTTCCTCCGCCATTCCTCTTCGCTTTATGATTGTCCAGCTCTGGCATCTTAGTCGCATCTTTCTCCCGGGTGGAGCTTCCTTCCTGTCGTCTGCGGGGGTATACATCCACTCTGTCGCAGCTTTTCTTTGCAGGATTACCTCTACGCTCATTTCTTCCTTCTTTTTCTCTAACACTCTCACTCGAACGCTTATCAACTTGTTTTTTGTACTCATTTCTCTGATGGTTATCTCTTCTCCTATAGTCGTTCCTCCGATCATAGCCATATTTGTAGCTATCAACTCTTCTGGGGTACATTCTGTGGAATTCTCTCTTCTTAGGCGAAGCATCTAAAACAAGGAAAGTGAGAAAAGCATGTCGTACTAGTCTGTAAATTACACAAAATGTGAGTAATACACAGGTTTTGGTGCAACTTCACCAAAGAGTTTCATGTGGCATGCTAGTCAGGTGAACAGTCTGTTTCGATGACGTTGCGCGCGCGCCTCGAGTTTGCGCAGACACCTCGCCTGAAGCTTGCGCCGCCGTGTGTGGACATATCCTCTGGGCATTTTGCCACCCTTGGGATGCGAAAGACTGGCAGGAGAAGAAGGAGCGCTTGAAGGGTATAGTCGCACACGCAATGCAAGCTCCAAACAAGGTGTCGTGCAAATCTGAGCCGCTGGTGCAAACGACACTGTCATTGTGACAGCCTGTACGGTATTACTTCAGTGGAATGTTTTTTGCGATTACAGTGGGCATAGGGTGACGGTGGACGTGTTTAGCCTGTTCATCATGTGTCTGATAATCGCTCGCATTGTAGAAGCGTTCGAAGCAAAAGAATCTCACTAAATGTATTAGTCGTGATCACCATGCTAAAGACCCTTCTCAAATCTATAAAGGTTTGTCATTTTGATACTTCCGCGCATTCCCACCGTAGTCACTAAAGAAGGTGTTATTGTGCGAAATAGATGTGGAATTCAATTAGCATGCCAGTGAACCGCTTTGGAAAGTTGACACAACCGTGATTTTTCATTTTGGGTTAACTAGAGTAGTACCTCGTGTCTCGAATTCGCGTTTGGGACGATCAGATCTTTCTCTACGATCAGTCCGCTCACTGCGATAAGTTTGAATTTTGCGATCAGTTGGCTCTTTGCGATCAAATCTCTCTTGGTGCTTTTTCTTCTTCTTTCCATCTTCACTGCTGCTATTCAGTTCTCCTTCTTCTTTAGTCAATGTCTTCAACGCCAACGACATCAGCTAAAAAAGTGATAAGAGTTGCAATGCGGCTGTCTTAACCCGTAAGCGTTCGCGCAAAAATCAACTTTGATAATATAATACCTTCCCAGTGGCTAACATATAAAAGCTCATGTCGCTTTCGTAAGGCTTTGCATTCTGGTAGTCCTTTTTGAACTGTTCAACAGGGTCGTCAATTTCTTGTTCCTTGATGGATGGCACCAGCTTCTGCCAACTTTCGCTCTTTCTCTACAAAAATGTAAACTTCAGCGATTTCGAAACAATAAGAAACTTACCTTTACAGTCTTCTTCTCGCTTTGAATAGCGGTTTCCACAAGAAAATTGACAAGATCTTCGCTCATATCATCCATGATTGCAGCGGAGATGAAATTGCGCACTTAGTCCAAGTCGTCTACAGTGGTGTAGCTGAAATAGGGAGTCTATAATCCCACTACTTTTCATTTAGCAGGGCATTATGGAAGAAAAAACATGGAACAACACAAAACAAACAATTACACACCTTAATGGACTCTACTTGTAGCGTGAATATTCGAATTGGCTTCTGGCATGGCGCCAAGTCAAGAGGGAGTGCTGAACATGTCGAGACAAGAAGCAACTGATTGGAAGTGATTGGAAGTGCTTCACTCTAAGATTTTGATTCCATAGTGAATAGTTGACGGTGTACCTTATAGTATGAGTTTTTTCCACTCATGTCAGTTTTTCCTTCTTTTCATACTGTCTTACTATACTGTAGCTGGACATCCGCATGTGTTTTGTTTTGGTTTCAATTCCTACTGTTGTATATTTCGTGGAAAGTTAGGGTAATTTCAGGATCGGCGTGTCATGCAGAAAGATCATCGAAGCTTTCTCGATCAAGCCACAAATATTTCATCCTCGGTGCGCAAAATGGCATTCGACGGGATTATCTACACTCTACGGGCATTCTCAGTTACTACGGCCGTCCATTATCTTTTTCCTTTGTTAGACATGGAAGCTGTTGGAGTTGTGAGGTCATTCGAATTGTAATGATTTTTGGATTTTTAGAAGTAAGATCAGTATCGTGAGAGATTGTCTTATTTGACGTCTAACAACTTTGTTTGGGACTGGTTTGCTCCAAGTCTTTGGCAAAATGACAATGTTTCAAACATTCCCACACATTCATTCATCTAGCTGGGCACACTTTTGGCTTGATCAAGTTTCTTCCTTCGCTTCAATTTCCGGCCGCGGTGAACATCAAGCAGTTTTAGTTCCTGGAGCAAAATGACGTTCTCTAGAGAGCTTTGATAATGTCTGAAAAGATTATTCATTTTTGTGCATGCTGTAAGCTTCCATTTTCTTCGAACATTTGTTGTATGAAACATGTCGTCGAATTCACTCTCAGCCATGTCGATCCACCTCTTGATCAAATATCTTATTGGCGATAAGCTTCAGTTTTGACGAAGGATTTGCTCAGGTAGTGTTTGCATTGGGTTTGAGCTCTTCTGTGAGCCCATCATGCCCTTAGTCCAGTGAAATGTTTGGACTATACTGGCTCGAATTGGAGGATGTGTAGTACAGTCGAGTAGACTTTCCGTTCAATTTAGTGTGCTTGCACTGCAGGTAAAATGCGGTAAAATTTGCGCGTTAACAGTTAGCTACGCCTGTGATGCCGGTTAGTTGCGCGCGCAAAATTCCAGCATTACTGGCGTGGCTATTTGTTCACTCGCAAACTTTACCGCATTCTAATTGCAGTGCAAGCACACCATATTAAGCGAGAAATCTACTCGACTGTAGATGGCATTGTAACTTCCGGTGGTACGCCTATATGGATGAATCTGTGGTTGAGATTAACGCGATTAATCAGGTAACCAGCCAGAGGATTGAAATTGCTGTTTGGGAACTTTCACAGTATAAATCGCCAAGTTGAATGTGTCAAGATGAACATTACTTTGCATGTGAACCGGAGAATTTTTAGATTTTTTTGAAGTGATAATCCAGTGTAAAATTTCGAACAGGTAACCCTCACAAAGATATCATGCACTATACTTCACATTCGCATGCATACTACTCGTTTGTTGAATAAAGAGAATATCCGATTCAGTTTGAAATGCAATCACTAGCAGCGTTTCTTATTTGACTTTGGGTATCAGAATTTTTGATATATTTGCCATTGACGAGCATCTTACGCAAATATTTTAGTCATCTATCAATGACAATTTCTGCAACAGTGCTAAACCACCGGTAACGATGCTACGTCATATTCATCTCTACTCTAATTATTTATACGTTATTATTCAGTTTCCCCGTTTTCCCCATATCTAATGTGAGAGGTCGATCATAGACTGAAATGATGAATTTGTAGAGCAATTTCCGCTTCCACAAGAGCATTGCAACGTTTCAAGTGGACTCGATCGCCTTGATTACTGCGCTTATGACCGGACTCGATCAGCATCTGGGATGACGTGCACTCGTCATCCTATAGTAAACCATTCGTTCACATCTTGAACGGACCTTTTTTTCCGCTCTTTTGACTGCTTCAGGTTTTTTGTCTTTTTTTCGGTATTGGGATGAAAGAATCTCATTTTTCACGCAACTCAATCGGAATGTATTTTGATTAAAGAGTAGGTATTTTGGAGATTCCGAAAATTTTTTTGGGATGCTTCCGAAAATTTTTGTGGGCCCATGACCCCGTAACTTTTTTTTACAAGGCTAATTTGAGTTTTTAAAAATTTTCAAAAATTTATTTTAATCATTTACAAGTATAAACAAGTCACTTGCACATTCTTATAACCCATATAATCAACTTTCAAAAATTTCGCGACCCATTCCCGGGGGGGGGGGGGTGTATGAATAAATAAATATAAATAGTAATGCATTAGATACGAATTCCTATAAAATATTCTTCTCCCAAAAAGTAACTGTCGTCAGAAGGCAGTGCTATCGGCAGTTGCCCTGTAAATTAGTGTTGCTTGGGCTTTTTTTCTTCAATAATCTAAGAAGATCCGAAATTTTGATCAGCGGTGCTTATATCCAGGCGTCTCATCTATGAATTTTTAAGTGTGAGAAAAATCAGCAAGCCTTAGGTAATGTCATCCCATAAATCACAAGTGGACGAAGAACTGAACCATCTTTACCTTTATTCAATGCTAGCATGCATACCCAAGAGTTTGGAAAGAGCCGTCCCTTTGCTGAGTGCGAGTTTCTAGAAAAAATCACGTTTATAAAATAGTCTGAAGTAGACAAAATTCACTTCAAAAATGCCCATAAATTTCAACTCTAGTAGTTAGACCTGAAATTGGAATAAAGATAAATGACGCCGCTCCAGGCTTTAAAGTCAATTAATTTTCTCAATGTTAACCGTATTTTGCTTTTAGGGGTAACTTTGCTAGTGCCCCTTCAATGCTTTTCCATCACTTAACCAACGATCAAGATCAAATATTCTCCACACCACTTGCCAAAATTTCCGCTCGCAGTGAAATTTGAGACTAGCAGAGTAATGCTACGCATTTAGAGATGACTATGTGCAAATCCTGGGCTAGACGCGATTGTCCAAAATGTTTATGATATTTGTTGAGTGCATTATTTTTTTTTCGTTGGCCCTATCTATTATGAAAAAAATCATAAATTGAAAGAAGAAATCCGTAGGTCGGTGCCTGAGGCATGCTTTTTGACGAGTCTTGTATCTTTTGATTCAGCGAGCAGATCTGAATTTCCTTGTTGAAAATGACAACGTACTCGGTTAGCATTCTTTATTTTTTTTTACCACTTACCAGACTTTCGAGTTTTGGCTTATTCTATGAAATTTGGGTAGGACTCCTAATTCCTGCAATTCAAATCTTTCTATTTGTTTGGGACTTTACCAATATGTTACACAATGCTAGTCATATGTGACAGACAAGTAAAATGAATTTGGAATTGCATCTTTCGCCAAATTCTGCAGACTATTTTTTTGTCACAGTTAAATTATGCCTTTGAAATAGAAGCTAGACCTGAAAGGCTCTAAAATGTTAGACCGTTCCTTTACTGATCTACCGCAGAAACCACTTGTTTGTTTCAAAAACTCTTGTTTCAAATATTGAACCATAGCTTAATAATGTTTACGAAAACAGATTCAAAAGGAGGAGAAGTTCAGAACAAAAACTGCAAAACTCTTGTGGCACTGTGAGCGATCGGAACCTTAGATAAGCTTGAAATTATAAATAAAAGATGTTCTCAATGCCCCAAATTATTTGGACCTTCATCAGCTACTACACTCGTTTGAGAAAGTCTGCATACATCTCTAGAGAATATAAGCTATCTGTGTATTCTAGAACGTTAAATGCAAGCATTTTGCCACCCTGAGGTATCTCGTTCCAACGTCACAGAAGAATTTGCTCTTCAAATGGCACATATGAGAAGCACCTTTACAATACTGCAGGTAAACTTCATTCATAAATTCTTGATTACCTGTAACAATAATTTTGTTTTAGATAATCTTTTGCCTGATCGGTATAACGGGTAACATTCTGAATTTGCGTACATTGGCAAGTCCTTCATTGCAAACAGTACCATTCATGTACATTCGCTCTTTAGCATATTTTGATCTGGTAATGGTTAACTCAGCTTCTTCTGATCTGAATTTTTTCGTTGCAGATCTCATTGTCGGCTATACTGATGCATTTCATGCTTGAAAGAACTACTAAACAATATATTCTTGTAGTGTATTCAAATTATATCGAGGCGCCTTTTATAAATACTTTTCTAGTTGCAGGCCTTTATTGTGCTTTCATGCTTACAGTGGAAAGGTATGTTTTCATGAATAGTTTGTAAGTTAAAGAGTGGATATGAATTATGCACGCTAATTAGTGTTGCTGTACAAGGTCACAATTTTAAAAAAGTCATTTTTTGAAGAAAATTTTGTGGATCCCAAAATTTGTCATCCTGTTTGTCACTTATCTCTATCACATTCTTGAACATCTTTTTGCACTAACTACTTCATTTTTTTTCATTCGGACTCTCAAAAATGTTGAAAATAGTTATTCATTACTACTTTCGATTAATTTGGATATTTTGAGCTTGGGTTGAACTACTCGACATAAGCGGTAAAATTGTTTTGAGGAAGTATAAACTTCTTCACAGAAATAGAGCCAATAGTAATATGATTACTTCATCGCTTTTACTTTTTTGTTATCCCTTAGTTCATAGCATGTTGATTATGCTATGACCCACCGATTGTAATGGATTACGATCTGGCATTATAACCAATTAATTAAACTAGAGGAATACTTGTTCAAAAGTATGCTTTTAATTTAGTCTTCTTAGCCTCTATACGATATGAAAACTCTATTCTATCCCATCCTTGACTTTACAGTCCAAACAGGCAGCAAACCTACATAATGATAACATTTTTTAAACCTGCTACAATAGCTCAAATGCATATTTTGTTCACATCTTAGAGGTCAAATAAAAACTTCATTTTCTTCAATTTTTTGCTGCGGTGAAAGATGGGAAACCTCGCTTGAGTAGCTACAGTTGCAGCATCTTGGATTTTTATTACATTTGTTTATTCTTAGATGTCTGCTCATTTCTCGGCCACATCTGCAACTTCCATACAATCCTCATAAAATGGCTAGACGAAAAATCCAAGCCATGCTAGGTCTAGCCGCGTTGTTACATCTTCCAATGATGCTTCAGACCACTATAAAGTTGAGTGATGATGGTTCCTATCACATCGCAAATAATGTGGATTTACTATGCAGGTACGTCTTCGGAAAAAATCGGTTTCACTTAGATTATTTTTTTGCTGATACCCAAATAGACGAGAGTTTCCTTCAACTTTTCCGTGAAAATAGGCACTATTCGTGTCACTTTTTGTTTTACAGGGAACCTCACTGGACAGTTTATAACTACTACAAATTGATCAGGGAATGCTTGCGATTCTTTTTCGTTGCTCTAATGACTTTACTGAATGTGATAATTGCTCGTAAGCTCCAACTGAATAATGTATGCTCTAATTATAACTCCGCCTAATATTTTCGCCAACAACTGATGTTTGAGCTTCGCCGACGTCGCCTGGTAAGACGTTCAGTTCCCAGTGATGTGAGTTCTCCAGACCATCTTAGTGCAAAAAGGCCAAAGAGTCCAGAGAATAGCTTCAATAGGTAGGATGTTTCCCTTTCCTGGAATGCACACGTCTGTCACATTGGGCTGCGCCCAGAGTCACTGGTGCCAGCGTCGTGCCGGCACCGTGCCAGTACCATGCCAACGCCGTTCCTAAGCCGTGTGATCGTCTTACATGGACGACGACCGGTCAACAGGAGCACAATTTTGGTCCTGGCACGCTGCCAGCACAACGGTGGTACGGCGCTAGAACGATGCCGGCACTGCGTCGGCACGAGAGCAACTCTAAATGCTGGTTTCTTTCCAGATCTCGTCGGGAATCGAACCTAGTTCGCAGCTTCTCGGAGAAGAAGCTTACAGCATTGATGGTTGTTATATGTGTAATTTACATTCTTGGAAATCTACCACAAATGCTTGTGATGGTTCTTCAAAACGAAGCCATGGAAAATTCATACGGCTTCCAGGTAATTTGCAATCCATTCGTTATATCTATTTGAATGTTTCGATTCAGCTTTACCGCAATACTGCTAATCTCCTCGAAGTAGTGAATCATTGCCTCAACTTCTATATATTTTGCATGGCCAGCAGCGAGTACACTCGTGCATTTTTATTGAAATGTGTTTGTGTAAGGGATATCATGATGAAGTTCCCCGAATATGCTGAATTTTTGACAGCGAGGAGAAGTGACAGGTTCAAAATTTTTTTTTACTCTGAACCCTTTTACATAGTGAATCTTGATTTAGCATGGTCTCTTGTAATATATCAAATATCGGACTGCAACATAGAGACTCCGGAAGTGGTTCTGATTATGAAGGAACCATACTCTGCAATGGTGAGTTTGACTTCTGATGAGTTCATGGGTATGTTACGTTTCTCAGCAAAAGTACTGCATGAAAGTAGTAAAAATTACCTTTTCTGGTTCCTTCTACATCAATACACCAAAATGTTTTTGACTTAGTTTTTTTTCAGTTGTTGAAGGAAATTCCTACGTAGATGACACCGTGGACAGATCGGAAATGAAGGGAATTCTTGTCAGCGGTGAGCAGGACTGTCTATCATAACTTCCACAGCAGTGCTAACTTTCGACCTTTTCTAAGAAGATTAGTCTAATAGAGCAATCAATTTGCATAGATCATACCTATTCATCCCTTCCCAGATTGGTGGAAGAATATCTGTAGAAACTGCTACACCGTATTAGTATGCTACCGTAACCCAGGAAGGAAAGAAAACGCTTCTAACCGAACTTTGCTGCTTCAAATTTTTCAGTTGCTGAAGAACTTTAGCATACGATAGTAAGTGTGAAAACATCAAACATGGACTTTTTAAACTTGTCCACTACCTTCTTGAGTACAATCGTTTTTAAAACATAGAATTTATAGGATATTAAGCTCTTCTATAAAAGCTCAAGAAAAGAGTGACATCCTTCAGGAAATGGGAGGTTGCGCAGCAGATCAAATTCTGCAAATTGAACCTTTCAAGTAAGATGTTTCAAAACGCTGTAGTTTAGGAGGACGCAACTGTGGAAATGAGAAGAAAAGCCTCACTATTATCAACCATATGGCTGTGCAATTGTGAGCAAACTTGGGCAAACGTCAAACCAAGTGTCATTGCTGACACTGTCATTGTGGATGTGGTCTTTTGTGAAAGTGTACAGAAATCTGAGACTTATATGTAAATCGGATTCGGCCTCTTTTGGGCAGTGATTTGATAAAACTTATCACTAATCTTGGACCTTTTCATGAAGTTTGAGCAGCTGGTATGACTGAATCTCGAACCTGTTCTGAGAGGTTTGTGTGACACTTTACTGAGCTATAATTCATCTAAGGTTGATTCAAAAGGTCTAAAAAAAATTACCAAAGTAATATCTAAGGAATGAGGTGGATCATCAGCGAACACATAACACATGCACATATACAGTAATTACAGAAAAATGCACATAGCTTTCAACAAAATGAATTGCTTGTGTGAATGCCATATAAGGTTTTATACAAAAAAAATCTTACGATTATCTACAGACTGGTGCTTGAAGTTGAGGTAGGGCTATTAGGGCCGGTAGGGCTGTCAACCTTTACGTTTTTGTCCTTTCTCAAGGCTTCCTGGAGACAAAAGGGTATGGTAAAACATTATGGTGATGAAAAGAGCCAGAACTAACCGACAAAAAGCCTTTTTTCATGTTTCTAATAACAAACTGTAGCAATTTTGTCCATATCCGTCGTTGAGCCGTCGGCTCAAATAGCTCAATATCGATATGCTTCCCAGAACAGAGGGAGTGAAAGCCAAACCGCAAGCCATTCACTGAAAAAATATACGTTTTCCATATTTCTGCAAGAGGAAAAACCTACAAATAAAGCTAAACATCTATTAGAAAGGAAACAGCCATTACTCAATGCCGCAGCATCTTATGTGCTCTAGCAAAAGAAGAGCTGAAAACTTACATTTTATGGGATTCAAGTCAAGAATGACCGTCAATAGACTATTCTTTACGCAGAGCCAGTTTTCAGCTTGAAACCATACACGCATTTTATAGTGTAGAACTCCAAGTTCGTAGCTCATCTGACGTATCTTCTCCGATGCATCCGGTTCAGCTAGACAATCCAGTGCCTTGAATGAGAAGAATTATGGAATATACAAGTCTCAATATTAACGATGATAAAAATATCAAATGTCAAATAAATCATCCCATTAAATGCGGAAGTACATATAGTAAGTTTCAATTCAGTTTGGGCGGAAATTGGACTGGCGGGAGTCCGCTGCGCAACCATTCGCTTTGCAGGCTGCGTCTCTTCATTCTAATCTATCTCGCCGAGCCAAAGGCGGTGCGGACGCGCTGCTCCAGTTGGCATGTTTCGCCTACTCCGGGTTGAAAAAGATCTATCTTACTCAAAAAAGTAGCAGGAAGCAGTTTTGTATCAACGGATCTGAATCATTTACCGTTTGGACCCATATTAACCTGCTTGACCATGTTTGTTTTTGCAGAAGCAAGGAAAATGACTGAATCAAATAGTCAGTTCAGTTAGGTGCAAGTTTCTGGAAGCCTATTGGCTACTGGGGCCAGCTCTACAGTATTTTACCGTAACCCGGCGATGAGGGTATGGGCAGGGAGGCAAGTGTTATGACGTTGACTCAGGGGTTATTGAAATCTATTGTAATTTAGTTTTTTGCTATACTGCTGCTACATTCATATTACTTTTTTCAAAGCTTTTTAGATGTAATTCTGATATTCTACCCTCCAAATGTTTAGACTTACTCTTACGATCAACATAAAAGGTAGAGAAGAATATGATTTACGCTCATTTGGTTTAATTAGCGAGTCGCGAAAGGGCACTTTACAGCTAAAATAAAAAATTGAAGGAAAAACGAAAACCCTAAGCAAAAAAACCCCTCAAAATCAAGACTCTATATAAATGTCGCTGGTTTTTAATAATTGTATCACATAATAGATTCATTGAACCGATAGTCATCGAGATTTGGAGAACAATGAGCCAGAAAGAATTATGAACACATTTGTAATAGAAATAACTACAAAACAGCTTGTCAGGGTTTTGCGACCAACTCAACACAGTCCTATAAATTTCTTGTAAATTACGCTAGTATTGAGCATTATCACAGTCTCGATATCGATAATGATGAATAAATAGGAACAGAGCAAACCTTCGTGAAGAATTTCACCACTCCTTGTCCGACTTCTCGAGCTCTTCTCAAATCTCGATTCACCACTTCTACAGTGAAATTTCCAGAGTAATTGATGTGTCCTGCATGACTTTCCAATAGCGATTTGAACAAAGATCGTTTGTCATTCAATAGACGTATGATGACTTCTGCTCCAACATCAATCGTAGCCAAAGCTCTGCAAGACCTTCAGTAATCTACCGTAATTCTGCCAGTTTATCCCAGGTGGAAAACTAACTCACCTCTGCCACGATGCTTGTAAAAATACGGCTTCATCAGCAGTTAAAACGATTGTATCACCGTCTTCGTTATCCACGGGGCTGTCAGCACGCCGAGGGGTGAACGGTGACCGCACCTCGTCTAGCATCATCAGACAAAGTTTCGAATTTCTGAACTCGGAGCTGTTTTGTAAAATCTTAATTTCCCTTCAATTGCTCGTTTATCAAGAAACTGAGAGTCGTCGAGGTTTGTGCAAATATTATCAAATTTCAGTGCAGTAAAATTCAAGAATAATTGTGCAGATAGGAACCCGAGAAGGAGAAGTTAGAATAAATTTTTGTGTATCGGGTTCTCTCACAAGTTTTGCAACAGAAAAATTCCTTTGAAAATGTTCGAAATAACGATTCGACGTTTATTGCCATATACTTCCTCCCATGTATGATGAATGTCATAGTTAATTACGCATATTGAAGATTTTATGATTTTGAAATTTGAAAAATTAAGTGTACAAATTTGAAAATCATTACTATTATTACTCTTCGTAAAAATCTCCTTTCGGCACAAAATTTTTACAAGTTATGAAGAGAGGTCACCGATCTAGATTTTTTGTAAATACTAAATAACTACTGCAACTAAATCAATTTTTTTGGGCCCTCCAACATTCCAAAGACAAGAGGGTAATGCTAGAGAGATCTAAATTTTTTTCGCTCTTCAGTAAATTTAAAAAAATCTACTCATCAACATGGAGGAGCATGAATTTATAATAAAATTTCGAGAAAATTTATATCATTTTAGCTAGTCTAGGTGCTTTTGAGCTTCATTGCAGTTTTATACTGCAGAACATCGAGATCATGTTCCGAATTAGTTCAACAGCCCTAGATTATATTTAGTACAACGAAAAATGAGACCAGATGTGACCAGATACATGGCAAAAGTAACAAGATGTTTACGAGTATTAATCATACTGATGATATGAAATTTCATGCTTGTTAAGAAAACATGAAAGACTGAAAAGTCGCACGTCTACATCTTGTTTACTGAAAATCTCTGCTTTAGCCCTCATAGCCATGAAGAGGCACAAGGATTCGTGGAATTGTTGATTTCATAAATAAAAAATCTACCTTAATGCATGCACGCCGTACCAGGAAGTGATTCATTTTGTTATCCTCAAACACATCACAAGTTAACTGTAAGGTGGCGGGGGGGGGGGTCAGGAATGACGTCATTTTTGATATTTTTCTATTCAAAAAGCATTAGTCTCATATGTCTTTTAGCATTTGTTGTGGATATGTGTAGCCTAATCGAAACGCTCTCGCCTGAGGTTTATTCGTGGCAGCAGTTCTCTAGCCTAGCCGAGCGCATGATGACATTTTCGACATTCCCATGAGGTTTGGCCATAAAAGCAGCAAATTTTTCTTCTTTATCGAACCACCGGGCACTTCGCAGATTCGATGTCTTGAGTGCAAACCAAAGATCGAAAAATAACAAAAAGAGGGAAAAATGACTTTAGCAAAACGCTGTTCTCATTTATCGTATGGTGTTGAAGCGAGCTACAAATGTGTCCCGTGTTCCAACAATAATTTATGTGTGTACCTAAATACCATACATGGAAACGAAAAAGCCTTAGGAATACTGCTTACAATCAATGATATTAGTAAACTCAGGTACTCACGGATTTTTGTAGTAGGGAAAGGCTAGTTCCCATAGCTGTTTCTAAAATCGTCAAAACCTCTCTTGTCAAGGCCATGCAGGTAAAATCCCAATGGCTAAAAACTTTTTGCGCTTACCCACCATCAAAGAATTTAGCTTAAAAATTCGTTTTTATGGATATTCTTTCGCACCGCATACAAAAAAAGTACATAACATTGTATTCATCTTCTCCAGCTCAATTCCGTTTCAGTTGTGAAAAACATGACTATTTAATTTTTGGTAAAACATTCTCAAATGTTGTGCGCTTCACAAACTTGACCCGCTAATTTGCATTTAAAGACGAAAACTACTCTTGAGTCTTTCTACTCGTCTTGAAGAAAATATTTGAGTCACCCTCTAGACAAGTGCTTCGGAAAATTTCTATTTGAAGAAAGTATGTAGAGAACTGTTTAGAGCGGTAAATGCCTACCCAAATAGGCGAACGCGCATCTTCACTTCACTGGGGAAGAGTACTGTTAAAAACTTTGGGAAAGCAGAAATTACAGTTTTGTTGAGAAAAAGGTAAAAATTCAAACAAAGAAAAGATGGAGCATTTTTAATTTTCCATAGCTTTATTCCTCTCAGAGGCTTCATTTTCACGATACATACAAACTAGTAGAACCATTTAGCGAGTCTGGTTTCTCACATATCAGCATATTATTATGTTTCCGACTAATTGCCAAACGGTCAGATAATTCTGTTATCTGGAACATATCGATCAAATCACATTCAGCGTGAAGTTCTCTGATTACGCTTGAATATTCACACAACATTCATATTTATCTTATGCTGAGCTAGTTATCATCACGTTAAATGCTATTCAATGTTGAATTTCATTGCGAGATGATGTTCAGTCCAAAAATCTCATTATCATCATCCTTCTCTGCATTTTGATTTTGTCAGTTTTATCAAAATTGAAGCATCCTAGTTCATTACAATAGTAGTTTGGAGCATAATTCTTGCACCGAAATATTCCAAAAATTCATAAAAAAGCTTAGGTAGAAATTTCAATATGTAGTATATTTTTGGTTGTATATAAAATATCTAGTACTTTTATGTCAGAAACTGATTTCAATTAGAGAGAGTATACCATACAACCCAAAAACCAGAAAAAACAATATCTCAAAGCTTACAACAATTTTAGCGACCGTCAAAAAATACAATTTCAATGTTTCTTTTTAGCGTTTTCAGTGTTATATGAAAGCAATAAGTTTTGCTAGAAAGCCTATAATTTCTTCAATTTCAACCCTCTATCTTATACTACATATGTCGAAAGAACCCATCGAAACTAGATGGCAAGGCTCATATTTATGTTCCAATCTAGTCACTTATTCACCAAAATTTATAGATATAGAAAAATGTCCTATGTGCGCGACGGACCACTCTACAATGAGAATCCAACGACAAATCCGATGCTTTACGAAACGAAAACAGAGACAACGACGGTCCATGGACCTAAAGTTCAGGTAAGCACTGAACCGATGACGATGTTATTGAATTAGGCCAAAATTTCCGATGCACATTTGATTATCAAGTAAGTGATGCTAGTGCAGTCAGTCTACGTGGTCCAAATGTGCGTGGCCATCCATCATCGGGTTCCCCCCTCTAGTCCATCACTCCGTAAATTTCATCAAATACACACTCATCGGAGTCTTGCTTGAAGGCAGAATATAGGAGTTCCGGGTAAATAAAGCCAGAGTACCTAACAATAAATAATTAGCGAGTCGTGTTGACTTGATGTAAGACCATCCTGTCCCCAATCTCTGTATTTTAGGCAATAAATGGGGACACAATTTGTCTTAAGAGTGATCCATTACTCTCAAGACAACGCCGCAGTAGACTGTTGAGAATGTCGTGTTAATTAGAGATAATCTGAAGAAAGGATTTGATCCCTTGCAAGGCCAAGTAAGCTACGTCACAACAAACAAGCAAACATTCGTACACACTGAATTATCAGGGCGCAGTTAAAGTTTTGTTACATTTTCATGTTCTTCTGTAAAATCATAAACAACGAGAAATGGACAAAAAGCTGTCAGTTGGAACCATTTTCAGCTTCAAAAAAGTTACAGTAAGAAGGACAGTTCTGTGGCAAATTCCAAACTCAAGTTTTTTTTCAAAATTTGATGAGAATTTCTTAACCCTTCATTCATCCTTTTGAATCTAAATGAATTTGCAGTAGGATCAGTGACGATGTAAGTCAGCAGTCAAAATTAACTCCTAAGATTTCAAAAAATTCGAAAACTGCTTCTTTTTATACATGACATGGATTCATAAAAAGCTACAACCCTTCTTGTGACTTTGGAATGGAAACTTCTTCCAAAAACTTATGAAGGTTTTTCCAAGTGTAATAGTTATTTCCGCCTAATAGACATGAGTGCGCGCTAAATCGGAGAATCTTTGTGCTTTCTAAATTCAAACACTCGCTTAGACCAATTATATATTCAGGAAAAAATGTTAGCAGCCAGATGTTTAGTAAAATGATTAGACATTGGCAGGTATTTGATTCATGTCCATAATTTAATTTTGGTAATCACCCAATAATTCATGCAACACGAAAGCAATATAGAACAGAAATTATGTTGCACACCCAAATGACTATAATACGGTAGGTAGAAGCAGAATCATGCAGAATACGTTTACTCCAAATCACACATTTTTTTTGCGGAACAACGACTGGATGTTAGTTTATTTGTAATCTAGCAGATCCTCATGCCAATACGTTGTAGTGTAAATACTGAATAGAAAACATGACAAAAACAATTCTTTGATTATTTTTGGTGTAGGTTTGCAATTAGCTGTCCGCAAGCTAATGCATATCCCTAATCCATGTTCAAAGAACCGAATTTTGATGATGAGATCCCTGTTCAGAGGAAAAATCTATTTACTTTCTTTTTATGGATACAAAACTAGCAAATAGAGAACAGCTTAACTATGATATCTTATATCCGATGCATTCAAAAAATTCGTCAAATTCGGAAATACTTTGCAGCCTTGTAAACCGTCAGCAAAAGTCAAAAGGAAGGGGGAGGGGGACAGAGATATGAAGCAAATCATCACATTTTCGATACATGACCCAAAAAACCCTTGAATCTTTCTTCATGCCACATGATTATGCCTACTGAATTTCATTTCGAAAATAATTTTCTAGTGTTTTATCCGAATCTCAGCATATGAATAAAGCTTACATATTATTAATTTTTCAGTGCAAATCTGAGTCAATCTTCAAACGTTTGAGATTAAAAAAAGTTTTTTCATAAGCTCTTCTCCGGCTTTCAGAAACTTTGCAGATCAATCTAATGTTACCAAATAAAAATGAGAGGTAGATATGAATTGAGATCGAGAAGGAAAACTGCGAGGGGAAGTAAAATAAAGGACAAAGGAGAGTGTGTATGTAATTCCCAAAATAAATCGCAAAATTCTATTATCCAAACTGGACCAATAGTGTTCTCAGCTCTTTTCCAACGAAGTTTATCTAAACCAAAATTTTGGGGACGTTCTGAGAGCCAGCGCTGTCAAGATAGAAGAAAGTTTTTTGAAACTACCCTGTGTGAATGTTTGACCTAAGGTTATTCATTAATTGTATTCGTCATAGCGCTGATGTCCACGGTTCGATCTAGAATCTAAGAGGGTAATCCAATCTAAAAAAAAATTGCAGCACTTCAAAATGAAATAAAAATCTGAGATGATGTCAACGGAAGCAGAAAATAGAGTGCAATAAAGTCATAACAAGATTTGACGGACACTGGAATCATCCAGAGGGGTTTGTGTATGAAGATTCATGCTGGCAGTAGAGCTTTGAGAGAGTAAGCTGTCTACTGAACCGATACCAACCACAACAAAATGTCGACAAAAACAATCACGTTAAGTCACCATGAATTCTGGCATCCGAGGTGGTCGGGCAAGTTCAGCTTTAGATTTCATATTTCGCACACCTTGCTTGATTCCAAGATGCAGGCAAGCGGAACCGAGAAAGGGCTCGCTTCTGGCTGCGTGGTAATGCAAGGTAATTTTGATCAACAACAACGCTGTCTAGGGGGTTCAACGCTACTTGAATATTTGCTTCATGTGTGTGGGAAATGATGACGCTTGATTTCGGGGAAGAGGCTCGATACAACTTTTAGAACATTGTTTTGTGGTGAAACACAATTTTTTCATCAAAAATCCCAGAAAAAAAGTTTTTATGAGGTTGGCTGGCTCCTACACTGTTGCAGACAGAATTATATCTATGCTATGTACTTTGGAAAGAGCACTTTGGTAAGAACCAGACCCCAGTTTTCCCATTGGTGTGGGAAAATTTCATTTTTTATATCGAAAAATATCAAAAAGGCAAATTTCTATTGATATGCTTTAAATGGAGAGAATGAGTATGTATCAAAATACCAAACTACTCTACATCCATCACAGCATGAAAACGAACTTAGAAAGAGAAGTGAATTTCTTAAATCGAGCCAGGTAGAAAATTCCAAGTAGTTGATATGTGATAGTAAAGTTTTGAAACACTTCTCCTTAAAAAACCGTGGATGAAAACTATATAAAGCTTTTATGGAGTTTTGGCAAAAACCAACTTTTTTAGCTAACCTAATGTTTATTATATGTTATATGGTCGTTATGGAATGTATCAAAAAAAACTTACTTTGAGCATGTCTCTCAAAATTATTGAATGAAGCGAATGAATCTTGAATGAAGATATTCCCCTTGAGAGACCTTTTAAGCAGATCAAGCAACTTATTATAAGCTATAACATTCTTAACTTATTGTATATTGTTTGGTTGAGCCAAAGCTGTCGCACCATTTTTGAACAGTGGGAGCCCATCCTACTCATATAAACATGTTAGGCGTTATTTTTTTAATGAACAGAGAAAATGATTCAATATCTTTACAAATGCATCTAATGGCTCTCTAGGAGATTACAGATAAAGTGATGCAGTATTTACTTTGATTTTTTCGCGTTCTAGCATTATAATGATATGTCAATAATATATCAAATATGAAGATAGAAGGAAGTTGCAATTTTCAAAATGATGCCACTGAAATTTTTGGCCACTGTCGTAGCTCGAGCATCTTGTTTAAAAAAACCAAAAATTGAAAAATTATTTGAAATATGCAACATTTGTTGGGAAAATCGATCAGCAAGAAGTTTCCTTGGTGATCTAAAGCCAGACACACCAATACCGAAAGATTATATTGCTTTTGGCTTCTTCAGCTTCTGTTTTATCAATGTGAAGGTTTTTGTCAGCTTCGCCGCGATATATCAACACTAATTTTTGTTTTAAACACTATTGGAGAAAATAAAAAACTTGTTTTCTTGTTTATAGAAAAACAAACGAGTTGATTGACACTAGAGGAGGCTACAGACCCCGAAATTTAGTGCAAGACTTATGCAACAAATTAGCATAGACACGTTCCCGGTAACTGCTCAAGCATAAGATCCGTAGATATAGCATAAGACGCACTTCCATGCCACCAAACGTTTGATATCCATACAATAAACAAATGGAATCCGACAAAACTGATGTTGTTGTCCATGGGTTCAGAACGGGCAAAGCTAGCTTTTGCTGCTGCTAAGTGGAAAATTGAGTGCATCTGACATGTTTATGAGGGTAGCTTTATCATAAAAGTGGTGACTAATAAACAAGGTGCTGGTAAAGTTCCACAGTTTGAATTAATGAGCTCCTCTGCCACAATGAGCAGAAATCTTCTTCTTTAAAAGAGATAAAGGAACAGAAAGATGTTATAAGGCACAATTTGAAACGGAGTCAGATCATATTCAGGTGATCGAAGTTGAACCCATAGACTGTAATCCTGGAATGTGCGCTCATCCTATGGCTCTGTTGAGATGGTTTCAGCTGGTGAGTGCATTAAACAAATTTATAATTTTGACAAATTAATTTCGTGATATAAATTCCTGTTCATCTGCAATTTTTCACGTTTTCTGCCCTATTAGGACTACTACAGACATTCGAAACCAATGCGTAAAACAGAATAAAGTGCAAAGAGAGAGCATAGTAATAAAAACATCATCCACTGAGAATCATAACTATGACAAGGTTCTCAAAAAAATTTCCATTGACTAATCTGGGTTTGCGGATATGTAAACAACTACGGAGTCCCTAGACGTTCGGCTTATAAGCAATTAACAGTGTTACACATGTTCCCTTACAATAAGCTATGGCTATGAGGATAACACTGTTTGAAAAACTGGCCGTGGTGATTTGAAAAATTTCTTGAGAAATTTTCAATTTTTTTGTAATTAAGCTGAAACTCTTTTGTTGAAGGCTATGTATTTCTTGTTACAATGGCTAGTACAAATCACATGTGGAGACGATGCTTGTACAATGATTATGAATGTGTTCGGATACACAGCCATGGGGCAGGTAAAATTTTAGATTAACTCGGATTAAAGCGTGGAAAAAATTCCTCAAACAAGTTTAGCTCTTCGTTCTGCTCATATTGTTGTTGATGTCCATTATTGTTGTTATTATACTGGTCGCTTATGGGCTCAATATCCACAGAACGAGTTATGCTTCAATTATTCTTTTAATAGTATGTTCTTCATAGTTGCAATTGCAACGCCGATGGATACTGTAAGTCTACTGTAATTAACCCTACAGGAGCGAGTCTACGCAATGATTGGAATCGTACTATTTATCGTGGCCACAGCGTTGGGAATATGGATGGCTGTACTTACAAAGGATCCTGATGTGAGTAGTTGATGTTTGGTCATACAACCACTGGCATAATTAGGTTGATGCATAATTCTTGAACCAAAATATTTAGAATTCGTTGCTTCCTCCAGCTTCAATGAAATGTTCTGATTTGATACATGATAGAAGAAAATCTTGTACTTTTTGCAAATGCTCAACTCAAAATTCCTTGACGGCATATGACAACGACATAAACTGATCAAGAGAAACACCCGAAAAATGATTTTTTGATTTTTGGTCACTAGAACTGCTAGAACGTCCACTGAAATTCAAATTTATTTTTGGTCTTAATTTGATGACACGCGCTTTTTGACTAACAGAAGTTGGTAGTGATTGGATGTATCGCCAATAGTCACAGACTTCAATTTCTAAAAATTGACTTGTTAATTTCATTTCATGTTGATTGTCTATATAAAATACTACTTTTGTTATGAACAGCACAAAGCATATTCTCCAAATTGATTAGTATGTTTGTGCATTTTTAAAACAATTTTTTTTGGGGTAAGAATTGTGCATCAACCCTTCATAAGAATTCAAAAATTCTGGAGTAAATTCTCATTTTTGTATTCTGGGTTGAATTTACATTTCTATGAAAACTGAACATTTTTGAACCTCTATAAACGAGCTTAAAACAATGCATAATGATTCGCATTACTGAATCATTGCGAACCATCATGTTAGAATATAAACAAAGCAAGACACTGATAGCTTAAAAATTTAATGTGATAATGAAATGATGATGTGTCGAAGTTGATGTGTTTTTGGAAAAAAAATAAACATCTTATAAGCAAATTACCCTTGGAATCTATAAATTAGATATTGCTAGTCAAAATGATGCCGTAAATAGAATTGTAGATTCATGCAGGGCTGACTGTGAAAGGTTAGTTCTAACGAGTACGTAAGCTCTGCTTTGGATCAAAGATTTCGAATAACTATTGCTCAAAGGACAGCAAGCATAGAATCAAATAGGCTGTAATTGATACCCTTCCTCAGTGTAGCTTAAGTTAACTCTTGGCTAAATAGCACCCTTACTCCTACACCTCCTACTTCTCTTGCTAATGATTCTCCTTTCCATATTAGTTAGCAAATCCAGGTATCATCTTACCTTAATGTTTGTCTCCTGCCAATGTACAGCTGGAAAGTAACAAATCATAAAAAACATAAGGTATTTAAGGTCAACTATCAAGGTCGAGGACACTTCCACATCCGTGGACAATGGATTGCTGCAGCTGTAAGGACTAAACGTGCGATAAGTTTAGAAAAATTTTCGTGTTTTTTTCAGGTGTTCGAGTTTCTCATGATATTTTTGTTCATAGCCGATTTCATGCTACAAAAAAGAGAGGTGATCGCTTCCAGCCTTTGTAACTTCATCGAGAAAAAGGTACCTCTACTTTTAGAACTATCCATTCACGGGAAAGCAGGACAAGAGTCAAGCTTTCCGGACAGATGTTCTGGGGCCTCAACTTGAAACATATGGCGCGCCCCCTTTGACGACAGCAAAAACGACAAGAGAAGAGATTTATAACCAGCAGAGCAGAATTTAGTTTCGCTAATGATCTTTCGATTCAATGGAGTTCTACTCTGTATAAATTGACCTATATTTCTCACCGTTATATTTTTGTGTAATGTGTTCATGCGCTTTCCAAGCAGTGATTCCTTTCCATTCAATTGTGTTTCGCAGCTTTCATCCTGCAGTTTGAATTTATCGTAATATCTGGCCTTGGAAATGGCTATCTCAGTCGGCAAGAACCCATCTTCTACACTTATTTTCAGCTTGCAAACTGGTTCAGATAATGCGAAAGCAACTTGAAAACTCAAATTACGAGGATTGCTCAAAGAGAGTACAAAATTATAAAAATCTATTTCCATTCTTGAGGAACTATCTCGCTATGGATTTCTGTCTGATTTGTACAATTTTGCTTCCCAATGCATATCTGAGGGCGAACTGTCGACAAACAGTTCGAGAGTTAGCGAGGAGAATTGATCCCCATAGAGGCATCGCCTTTGAGTGTTTTCAAGGTAAGAGCATACAGCTTGAGTGTGGTTGGTGGAATGAAGAGAGTAGGTCGTAAAGCTGAGTTTATATGCAAGGCTATCGTCGTTCCAGTTGCTGTGAAAATTCCTCTAGGCAATCTAGTCGAAAAAGCAAAAACACCAGAAAAATAATGTTGCCGGATTACATCTTCAACACCTCCGCAGCTTTCCGCTTTGAAAACACGAAATTCTGAAAACCTCCGTTCTATTAGGTCAGTGAAATTAATTCCGTTCGATTTTACTGGTTTGTAGAGATGTTACAAATAGCTTCATGCAAATGGTAACATTGGAGAGTAAATTAAAGGCAGCGTTTAGTCAAAATTCATGCTTTTCCGATTAGTACCTTCTAGTCTACAAAATGCCGAGAGATTAGGACATCTACATGGATTCGGTCTTTTATGTGGATTTTGAATGGAAAAAATGGACCTGAAACCCGCCAAAATGCTATCAAGCCACGGCCGTCCTACCAAGCTTCACCCTTCCAGGTACTGAAAGTCGTCTGTGACTTCAGGATAAACCTCCCAGACGGGCTCTTTGGGGGTTTTGCACATTTTGCACTTCATCTCTGTGATCAGGGCCACGGGAAGGCTCCAGAATGACAAAAACATGGAAGACAACGAATTGTTGGCTTTTTTCTTCGAGGATTTATCGGAAGGTTAACTCCAGCTGCACAAAACCAAAAAACTGAGCGCACGATCTTGTTTCACACCCCGATCCATTTCTTCAGCCACCACTATTGTGTACCTATTCTAAAGTTTATTTAATCCAAACAATTCTGTTCTGAAGTGTCTTATTGTAAGGGAAGATACCCTCTTCAGGCGAGCAACAAGGACGAACAAACAGATTTATTAAAGAACAAAAAAACGAGAAAAACACACGGCGCCACCTTCCGTGGCGTCGGAACACAATAACAATGAAAAAGAGATCTGGCCTGCGGCCTGCTGCCGTTCGATAAGCGCGCCTTCGATCGCCTCTGATCTACATCGGCCTTCTCTTTAGTGGCCATGGGCCTGACATGCCCTCCCCGCTTGGAGACATCGTCCTCGATGTCCTGATACGTGGTCTGTAGACGTCCAGTTCGGGCAGATGAGCATCCACTGCTCGCCTTCTGACACATTCGTAGATATACTTATTCATGGCGGTTCCCACATAACTATTGAAGAACTGCGCGCCTCCTTCCGGGGCTCCTGCCTCTATAAACAGCTTCCCTTTCATTCCAAAGTTGCTCGCGGTTGTGAAGACTTGCCTCCCCTTGTCGCACTGTATCAGCGTTTCATCAAAAGTCTTCCATAGTCCCGATAGTTCACGCCACAAATCATGATTCTTCGACGTTATCGGTGGCCATGCAGTAACTATTTTTCCGCCCTCCTCAAGGTATTCCTTCGCCGCTACCATCATCTTCTGCGGAACATCATCGGCTGGATTACTATCCAATGGCCACACTATCACCCAGGCTTTGTATGAGCGCCATTCTTCTAGCACGTCAAGCAGTCTAGCGAACGTCGTTGCTACTTTTGTTGCCACTCTTCCTCGAGTGCCATCTCTTTCCATGGGGCTTCCTCCCTCGAAAGTGGCGTATCCAACTGGTCCAGACTTGGTGGGTAGCTCCTTCGTGGCCTGTCCCTCAATCTCTCGACGGAATGCTTGTAATGCTTCATTGTAAGATCTCTCAATAGAATGCCCTTCGATCTTGGCGTGTTTCGTAATTGCGTCCGTGTTGCAAAGAAAGTCTGTCCAGTCGATGCAGGTGTCGTAAGCGAGCTTCAAGACAGCTTTCAGGGCGTCTGCGTCAAAACATATGTGTCCCTCTCGATGAAACTTGATTTTCGTCCCCATATCGATATCCCTTCGGCTGAAGATACTGCAAGCGAGCCAAGCGGACCATAGGTTTTCTATGCGTTCTTTTGCCACTGCGCCCGGAAAGTTAATTCCTTCAATATCTCCGAGTTTTCTGTCCTTGAAACAGTCGTCTCCGCATTTGAAGAGCAGATGTCCCTTTTCGAGTGGGCTCAACAGCGACACACCTCTGAAATCATTAACTTTGACTTTGCATACCTTACTCAATAAAACTTTTCTTTTTCTACCCCTTTTCCCTCTCATTGTCTGGGTGTCAACTCTGTCATTAGGTATGTAGCCTGGAACTATTTTTAGCTTATCGAACTGTATCCTTATAGGATCCGTATTCTCCCCTATGCGCGTGATTAGAGCTGAATTATCGCTAGTATCCAAAACTCTAAATGGGCCAGCCCAGTCCGAAATAAGTTTTGGGTGGGTGCTTTTGCCTTTTTCCCTTGGTGCCAGGGCCTCCCGATCCCCTACTTTAGGATGCCGACCTGGGTTCACCTTGTTCTTGTTGTCATAGCTTCTTTTCATGTTTCCTCTAACTCTGTCATTGTATCCTTCTACCCTTTCCCGTATGATTGGTTCTCCTATCCGTTTAATACCCCTCTCTGTGCTTTCATTCATGCCGACTTTGCAGCTTCGTATCTGATTGATGATCTCAGACACATTGTTTCCATACGAAGGTTGCGCGGTTTCCCCACTGTCCTGCTTTCGTGGGCAGTCCCTTGCAAAATGCCCCATTTGGAGGCAGTTGAAGCATCTGGGTTCCGTCCTCTGTTTCGAGGTTCCTGCATACGCGTGTCTCTCTTCCTCGATTTGCATTCCCCTGCCTTGTTCTGTGTACTGGAAGTACGGGCTGATTTCTTCTCTGTCTCTTGCCATGTCATATCTTGCTGCTCTATGTACTTGTGGCTCTTTCCAGCCTTCCGTCTTGTTGAGAACGGTGCGCGGCTTCCCTTCCCAGATCTCTTTTGCTCTCTGTATAGTGATCGCCAGTTGCTTCACTTCGCTGTATGCTTCGCTAGGCGGTACCCTATGTAACGCTGCTATCAACTGAACGTATTCGGGCCAATCCCTTAAGTTATCCAGAAGGATCTCGGCGTACTCCACCGAGTTTTCTTCCAAGGCTCTGTCTGGATGAGCCGATCTCCCTATCTTCTCCAAGGCAACGCAGAATTCCGCGACATCTTGGTGTGGTCTGATCCTGAGGGATCTTAGCTCAGCCATGGCCCTCATCCTGTTAGCTACCGAATCCCCTGCTAGCAATTTCCCCAATTCTTCGATCACTTCATCAAACCCTTTACTTCTTATTGTGGGTGCTAATGTTCTCATTACATTCTTTGCCTGCCCACCCAAGTGATTATCACTTAGTATATCTACAAGGGTGTCCGTGTCTGTGATTACTTTAGCATACTTTCTTTTGAATTTTCTCACAAATTCCCCGAAATTTTCGTTGGGCTTCCCATAAAAAACACCCGGGTCCGGACAAGAGAGGGATTGAACATAATCTAGAAATCGCAAATCGTCTTGCTGACCTTTGGGTTCCACGTCCCTGTCCTTTGAATGCAAACGCGGTGATCCCGACGCAGAGCTGTTCAAGCTTTGTTCGAACAGCACTCCAGTCCGCCTTGGATTGCACTGCCGGGGCTGCAAAGCATCTTTTTGATAAGCATTCTTCTCTATGTTTCCTGCAGTTTGCATTGACTCACCATGTTTGGCTTTTTCCACTTCACCTCCCTTCTTTTTGAGGTCTTGGATGGCTGCCGGCATCTGAAGCACATCAGTATTTAGCATATTACATGCTTGTTCCAGAATCTCCCTGTTTCTCTCAGCCACCCTTACAAACTCTCTCCAGTCCTCTACTGATTGTATGCCTAATGTTTTCATGGTTTCGGCCATCTCGCCCCGTTCATCCTCTATACTACGACATTGTTCTGCCGTTTCATTGAGTTCCTCACTCAATTTTCTCACTTTCTCACTTATGAACATTTCGTATTTTTCTTTGTACCTGGCTGAAATTTTGTGCTCTGTCATCTCATTTGCTATCTCCCCAGGTACCCTTTCTAAATCCTTTCTTATTCTCTCAATCCTCCTCTCTATGCTATCTCTTGCATAGAAACTCACATTCTCAGCGTCCATGTGCTCGTCCACCGCTTGAGCTTCTTTGCTCGGCTCCATTCGCTTTCTGCAAAAACTGCTTTAGTTGTGTTTTCCCTTACAAAACACGACGAATTCGCGTTCGCCCTTACGTGTGGCGAAAACAAAACAACGATAAGTTCCACGTTCGCCCTTACGTGCGGCGAAAAAGCTCAATTTGCAGAAAGCGGCTCGGCCCCCATGTAAGGGAAGATACCCTCTTCAGGCGAGCAACAAGGACGAACAAACAGATTTATTAAAGAACAAAAAAAACGAGAAAAACACACGGCGCCACCTTCCGTGGCGTCGGAACACAATAACAATGAAAAAGAGATCTGGCCTGCGGCCTGCTGCCGTTCGATAAGCGCGCCTTCGATCGCCTCTGATCTACATCGGCCTTCTCTTTAGTGGCCATGGGCCTGACATTATTACATTGAAGAAGGTACGTTGTGCACACATAGGCATTTCCACTGCTTGAATGACAATTCTTCTCGCATGTTGCTCAACTCGAACTGAATTCTCTATGATTGATTTTATATATTTCACTGGAACGCCTACGGTCGATTATTACATGTTATGATATGAGACACAAGAAGATTGTAGCCTGTTTGTTTCTACATCCATTTCGGTGGAACCTCTGAAATGTTTCTATGGCTGCTCATCATACTATTCTGCTCAATGTAGGAGCTGCACGCATTGCAAATTTCAAAAAAAAAATCTCTACTGCTATTTCATATTTCCAACGTGAATGTATTAATTTGTTCGTATGGGTGATGATGAACCTTTTGCACCCGTATACCGTACTACCGTAGTCTTGCGCGGCTACAGTAATACTAGTAGCCAATAGTGCCGCTTTCTCCACCAGTCAGAGTGGAATAGCGTGTACCCGTCCAAAAGGCTATTGGATAGTTTTATCGCTACTTTTTCACATTTACGCCGAACAACACAAGCCAAGATGTATAATATGAACGGACATATAAGGAGAGATAATGAAGCCTGTCTAACATTGGGTTTGAGAACGAAAACGAAAACTTGAGTGCAAAGAAACATAATACATACATATTAACGTAAAAGGGGACGAGAGCAAACACACATTAACACGAAAAATTATATACGACAATTAGATATATCACTTAGTGCTGCGTGTATATGAAATGACGAGTTAAACGACGATTATAAGGAAACAATCGCAAAACGAACAACGTGTCTAAGGAAATCATCATCTTCATCATATTCCGCGAGAGAGAGAGTCCATTCGAAGATCAATCACAACTCATAATTATCTTCGATTTGCATCAACCACAACACACAATACTAGTATTACTTTGATCTGAACTGTACAAGTATGACCGCGAGAAACAAGTATGTAAAGAAGGACGGTGTGTGTGCTTTTTTGCATTTCAAATCACGCTCATTGCCCTGCGTTCGAGTTAGCAACCAATGATCGTGCGACATGGGGCGTGTCGCGAACCGTATGACTCGTGGTGAGGGGTGTGAGAGTATTTGGGAGAGAATTGTGGCTAGTATAGATCGCTGGGCGATAACTGATAAATATGATGAGAAAAACGAGTGCTCGGGTTCGGCGGACAACTGCCACACGATCAGGCACGGGCTGCGAGCGAGTTGAGGATACAACTGAGACGCGCGTCCTCGACGACGTCTTCATGGAGCAGAAGACGTTGTTTTGGGGGAAACACGCACGTCGCCAAAAGAATTTCTCTCACACACGAACTATCAAAATCAATTAAGGGGAATGATCATTAATGTAAGAGAAATGACGAGAGATGTGGTGCAAATCGGTATAAAGTAGAAACACAGAGCATCTCAGTAAGAGAGAGAGAGAGTGAGAGAATTTTATGCTTTGCTGTCGAAGAAGGAGTATGTTGGGTTTTCGTAGCCGTTCACCTGCATACCAGCTACATGACGCTCCTCCGGAGTGTACACGTCGACCTTAAACATACAGTCGGACTTTCCACAGGTCAGGTGGTCCCACCACGATGGGTAAAAAAATTACCTCGATAAACCCGTGATGTGCTCGACGACGTCGCACAATGGCTGCTACTAACATGGTTAGAGATGCGATAGCTACAGCTCCGACCATGAACACAGCCTGAGATGATGAAAGAATACCGCTTTCACTATAGCTGGATTTCTGAAACTATACATTTTCCGACTTCACTAGAAGATTTTCTGTTGCTAGCTCAAAACCAAAGCCAATACTGAACCAAACGATTTTTAGCGAATAAAACACACAAACCTGATTTTGAACTAGTTTCTCTTGGCGGTAATATGCTGGTTTTTCTTCAATTATTGGCTCGATATCTACGCGAAGCTCCTTGATAGAATCCTGTAAGTTCAAATTTTGTAACTGATCGAACACACCTCCAACACGTTGACTCACCTCGTCCTCATCGCTTTCATCTGAGTCAGAATCGTCAGGTGTTGGAAGTGGATCAGTCTGAACGGACTTTTCGACCAGTTTCGGTGCCTCAGCCTTCTTTACTTCCTCTTTTCGTTGGATTTCGATGATCTAGAAGAAATTTTTTACATGCTGTAGCTTCAGGTCATTATACCTACCTTAGGCTTCTTCACAATAGGATTCTTCTTGACCTCCTCATCATCCTCGTCCTCATAGTATTCATCATCATCTTCCTCAGAATCATGAGAATCCTCGGAGAGAAGCTGAAAAATATAAAGATAAGCTAGGTGACACGAAGAATTATGGCAGAGTAATCCTCTCACCTTGGTTGGTTCAGTTGTCTGAGTTCCACGAGTTGTTGTCGTAGATGGCGAAGCTGTTGGAGGCGCTTTTACGTCCAGCTTGGCGGTAGGGTGAAGTTTTTCGTACGCCTCCTAAACAAATTAATTTTGATGATTTTGCACAGGCTAAAGCCATTTTAGAGCTGCCCCCGTGCCAGCACCGTGCCAGCGCGCACGTGGAGTGACCTCTGACGGCCCTAGCACGGTGCTGGTACGGGCAATTTTGGTCTAATGATTTCGCCGGAACTTGTTTTTTTACCTTGTAGAGGTCGACCAATTTCTTGTTCTTTGCATCGCTATCGAGCGAGTTCAAAGCATCAATTGCAGCATCGGACAGCTCTGGTGTGTTCTCTCGTCGGAAATCAGACCAGTAGGCGACTAAAAAATATTAAGAAATTAGAATGAGTTGAGGACCACGAATCAATTGAATACTCACCAGCAATTGGGCGAACCTGACTTTCAAGGTCTGGGAAATCACGAAGCATGGCCAATGTGCCATTGATGCGCAGGTCAATGTACCTGAACAGATAGACTTTATAGTTGTTCAAAATGCATTGAGTGAGCTTCTAAAAGGCCGCTATAATATGCTTCCAAACAGTTTTTAATCCATATTTGAATAACATCAAGCCTTGCAGCGCGTATGTAGCGCGTGTAGTTTTACCAGAGCGCGTTTCCGCGCGCAGAATATAAAGATCCCCGCAATTTGTAGCATAACAATGACAGTCTCGCTTCTTCAGACAGTATCAGCACTACGGTGAAAGTGTACGGGTCCCTAACGGAAAAACAAATACCTTAGCCTGTGCAGTACAGTAGGCTTGAATGCTGCAGCTTCGGCTTGATCGACACGTAAAAGATGGCGATATCGGTTAATGGTGTGAATACGATCCTTCTCCTCGGATCGGATGTAAGTCTGAAATTGCAGATTTCGCACAGACTTCCTCACGACGATTCTCTAATCCAAAAAACCTTTAGTGTCTTCAATACGTGATGTTTGTTAGCGGATTTGTCATGCATGGCAAGTGCTTGACGATAGTCATGGGTTGCCTGGAAAAAAGATAATAGATTTCATTTTATTGAGTCAATGATTAGATATTTCCCTACCGTTCTCTTCTTTTCGTTAAGGATTGCCTGTACCCGTTCTTCATGGGTAGCTTCAAGTTGTTTTTTCAAGCGTTTATGTTCGTCTTCTAGTGAGGCAACAGTCTGAAAATTCAGAAATTTCATTGAGTGTACAAGGCTTCAGTTCATTTGAGCAACGCTTTTGCGAAAGGTAGATTCTTTTAGATTACTCATTTTTTATTGCATTTTTTCATATATTTTGCCAAAGTTCAGGTTCTATTACATATAAAATTTGCATTAAGTGTGACTGCTATACCGCTGATGTCATAGGAATAATCTTTCGAAAGACCTTGTAGACTTTTGAAAATCTCATTTGCATAATTAGAATTCATTTCGAACCTTTTGGAATCGATTTGTCATCGAAACCTTGAAAGACTCAGCTCCCTTAGTGTCTTTCAATTTCATCTGCTGATATCGGGCCTCGAGCTCTCCCCACTCCTTCATGACCTTCAAAATTAATTATACAGAGACCACTGTAAGCAGCTTAGAGCTCAGAAGGCCATCACGTACCTTCTCAATCTTCTCGCGATGCTTCTTATCCAGGCGCTCTTCAGCATCCTTGAAGTTCTCGTGCTCGTTCGCAGGATCTTTGCTCTTGAAGTAAGGATCTTGCCCCTCTGAAGATTTCTCGTCAGAAGCATCTAAATCAGGACAAAGATCGAAACGCTGAAAATTTGCTTCAGCATACGTACTAATAATCCCCCTCCCCTTTTGTACACTTCCAGTAATGCTTCTATACTATTCTTCCGTGAATGCACTACTTGCACTCAACTATACGCCGTCACGCGCAAGAAATAGCAAGGTGTTGTAGTCTTTGCAAAGTACACATGAGAAAAGTACTACGAAAAAACGGAACTGGCAGCTCTTTGGAATTTCAGAGCACCTTTCTATTGTTCGAGCTCAAATGCTATAGTAGTATAGTGGAACAGCAAGGCAAAAAGAGTGTTAGAAATGAATCACCTTCATCGCTACCGTCATAATCATCATCATCGTACTCATCATCGTCATCATCGTCCTTTAGTGGTAGCTTGTTGGCTTTTTCAATCGTACGGGCACCGATCAATGGAGCCGAAATTTTGTCTGAAATTTGATATCCTTCATTCAAAAGCCATGGGCGTGTTCTATACTTTTGGCGGAAGAAACAGTTTGACAACGTAAGCATTGTTGCAGTGCCTAGCGCAGACCGCGCATCAAATATTGCGAGCAAAGAGCGTAGATCAAAAAAATGTGAAGGCGATTTTAAAAATTCAAACGAAAATGGAACGAACCAACTGTGGGGCAGCAAACAAATTCGACACCAGTGAACAAGTCGAGACTGCATGGTTCGAGAACAGCGAATGAACGCACAGTCATCCCCTTTCCATTGAAAGTCTAAAAATCAAATTTTCGAAAGAATTCCACTCGAGAATAATGTAAATTAGAATTTTTTCAAAGGTACCGTACCTTAGCCGAGCACTGCTTTGTGGCTTCGTCTCGCCAATGTTGATAGTCATTACAGGATTCGCCAGAGTTCACATGTGAAAAACGGCAATCATGCGGCACTTGGAGAGCTTCAGATTTGAATTCACCATCTGAAAATGAGAAACTGATTCAGATGAAATACAAAAGCACTTCCTATGTACTGATGTCTACGATTTCCGCATTTGAATCTCGCGCTTTTTTCCAACGAAAAAGAACGTTTTGTCCTATGCGCACTAAGTCAATCGACATGAGCGCAACATTCATTTTTTGTATTTCCAGACCTTCACAGAAAAGATTGGGAAGTGTTGTGCCAATTACTCTCACATTTTGTTATTTCAAATAAAGTTCATAACAAGATGTTTCTGGACATAAAAAAAGCCGCTAATGGACAACGCATATGATTGGAAGCCTTTACGATTAGTTTTTTTCTAATGATATAAACTTTGTATTTCTGCAAAGAAGCACAACAACAGATTCTAACCTAAAACACTTTTGACTAAATGCCGCTCTTTTGATAATGTGAATCAAATTGACTTGGTGACATTCCTCTGGCGGTTTTTGCAAGATATGACGAAACACTTAAGCTACTTTGACTATCGTATGATTAGAACAAAGCGGATAAACGACGAAAAACGATTATTTCCTGCTAAACTGTCTTCGTACAATATTGTTCTAAGAATTATCTACGGTCACACGACCTGTTCTACTAACACGGGTTTATGCGCTACTACATGAATTTTGCGGTTTTGTGTCACTATACTTGTTTGTTTATGATGCGTTCTTATTATGATTTGGCAAAGGGGTAACCCTAAGTAATAAATGAAATGAAATGAAATTCGAGAAAAAAGGCAAATTATGCTATAATTCCGGTTTATCAACGAGATCCGGGAATTTGATTGAACGAATAATGTACACAAAAAAAGGATGAAGTATTTCATATTTGTATGGTCCCTAAATCACTGACTACATCGATGCAAGTTAGAAGATTGTCCATTTGTACCCATTTACCGTATGCCAGATTCGGAAGAGCGAAAGTACAGTGCAAAGCAACCTCCCAGCAGAAGGCTGCAGCAAACAGGCAGTCACATCCCAATCTGGCAATGCGAGGTTACGGTAGCATACTGTAGCGGTTCAAAAAGACCGACGCAATGTGAATCTAATAACGAATGTGCAATTTTGAAACTTCTCTCATACCTATGCAAGGTAGGGTTTCTAGATAAAATCCCATACATGGTTTCATCCTGATAAAAAAAATCACGATTCAAAATCCCGCTAAGATTACGGTAAGGCTTCCACCTACCTATACATTGGTACGGTCGCACAGTGTGCGTCCACTTGCATGGTGTACCCTCTTCACGGCACCATTTTTCGATGGCAACCTCATGTGAATATTCGACGATATTTGTGATGTTGAGCTTCGGATAGGCCTGGAAAGCAATAAGCTTTCGGTGGAATAATGGCTTTGATTGGTGTTGATTGGATTTTCAATTGAATTCGCCGCGATAACCTGGTAATTAGAGCGAAGATTTGATGGGGCGCGATGGGCGAACGCTGAGATTACAATAATCGCAGCGCATCTTGTAATCTTCTCTGAGAGCCAGATCAGAGGTTAAACTAAGGATTTATATGGAAAATTTGTTGCTGGGGGAAAAAGAGGTACTTCAAACACGATTTCTATTCTTGTTACTGCATCACGGAAAGCGTTTAATTGAATTGCGGGATGCAAATAGTGATTACTTTAATGGATTTCTGCATTAATGCAAGCAGCACAACTCTCAAAAAATTCCTAAAAAAACAGAAGAGCTTTGAAATTCTATTCCAAGCTGAAAATGGATGGATAATATGCCAGACAATTCTCAAAACCTTTAGAAGCTATTTGCACTAACAATAAGCAATACGTCTGTCTGAGACCTTGCAACGGAAGTAGCTGCTATAAGCCACCAGACTAGGAAAGCAGATTCCATAGGCATTAGGCAATTCTACTCAATTCTGACGGCTAGCCTTGAAAAACATGCATCCCGATGTTTGTTGCATTGTGTAGTGCTGTCACATAAAAAGGAAGTGCTGGGATGCTTGGTCCCGCGAGGATAAATGCATGTTCGCGCCACATTCCTTTAACAAAAGCAAAGGTCGACAAGACCAAACGTCACGACAAGTTCGAAAGAGCAGATGTGGTTGCGGGCTTTGAGTCTGATGTCTATCAATCATTAGAGCTCAGCTGACTTGTAACAATTCTAGAGAATTCTGGAAAATTCCTTCTAACAAAGGCTCGGATCCATATTCTTCCCTTGAAAACTCTGAGAAGTATTTTTGGAAACTCACCTTTTTACAATACTTCAGAATGTCCAGTTTTCCACTCAAACATGTCGCATATCGATTTTCGTCACTAACCCATACGCCATCTTCGCTCATATACTTATTACGATAGCCACATTCGAATGCGACTAGTGGAACGAATTTCTCGTGCTTCTTTGACGTGCCATCAATATTGGCCGAGACACCCTGGAAAATTGAGAAGAAATTGAGAGAAAACTGGAGAAAGCGAAATTTTCTAGCAAGATTTTTCGAGGGTAGGGTGCAAGTCAGATTGCGTATTCCCTACCAGGGCTCGGCACAGGTGGGGATAAAAAGCAAAGGGAAATGTTTTTGTGGCCGAATTACGATATTTGGTCGACGTTCCGTTTTTTGAGAATTTTACTTTTATGGTACAGGGTCAAAGAGGACTTCCGCAAAATTTTTGGAAAAGTCAAGGGGGACTTCGTTTTTTGCATTTTTGGAAATCCACTTTGTGCCGAGTCCTGCTTCTTACAGTAAGCTAGCGATACTGTAATTTCCTCAATTTGCTTCAAATTATTAGTAATTTTCCCAAGTACCAAGCCGTACTCAATCGTGCTACGAGACACATAACACCACTGTTTTTTTTTCACACAGCTATTCAAGTCTCAAGCCCTATCTCGGTGTCGCAATCCACTTCCTTCTTCGGATTTCCGGCCCCAAACCAGGAAAAACCCCCCTCATCAACCTAGCTCGACTGCCCTTGCACACCAGAAAGTACACTGCTGTCGAATTTCGAATCAAAGCGATCTATTTACTCCACAAGTCGAGCTGCGCTGGGACTGGAGTGGGACCGTGCTTCGAAAAAAAAACGACGAGGCTAGCCGCTTTTGAAGGCTGTGACTTGCGCATACTAGACGAAAGATTGTGTCGAAAGTGCAGTCTTTGTGAATGTGAGTATGAATCTAGCAAACGGAAATTGCCATTCGTGCAACGACCGGGGCAAACGAGGGCTTATTCTAGCAACGAATCGAGAATGGCGGCAAACCGGAAAATTTTGAGGGCGAACTTGGCGCGAAGTAATCACGAGTAAATCGCGTAGAAAAAAGGTTTAGAGTTGTGTCAATGACATGTGACGGGCGCAGGACAAAAATGGCGCAGGAATAAGCCGAGGATTTAGAAGGCGCACTTCTAAAAACCCGACCTAGTGCTGCTTTTTTGGGTACCTTCAATTTCCGCTCTTAATCGTTCTCTTAATTTTTTCTATCTCAGAAATCCCTAATGCCATGCTCAAAAGCATTCAAATGTCTAACTGATAATTTTTTCAATAAAAAAAGTATAAGCTTAAAAGCATTCGAAATCTAACTAATAATTTTCGCAACAAAAAAGTACAACACCACCTTTTATGTGGAGTTTGTAGAAGTTCACTGGCATTCGTTATATAACAAAAGCAGCAAGAGCCATGAAAGCAGTTTTTTTCCACGGCTTTGTGCAAATGTTGGCTGCAGAAGAATATATGGACTGCTTTGGGGATGACGGCCTCTAGATCAACAAAACGGAGCCCACTTGGGAAGATTTATGAAACATCGGCTAGAATTTTCTAGAAAAGGGCAATGCACGTGGCACATACAAGGACTAATAAGCTTTGGAAAATTGAAAATAATGTGGAATTTTTCGCAGGGCCTAGTAGAGTATAATATTTGCCAAATCTCAACTATCTAAATCACATTTCATTTTATTTGTTTTGCCAGAAAACTCTGCCGCAAAATATTTGATTCATCAAACAGCCGCCGGCTCTTGCTCCCACCCTATGTCTTTCGAAAAAAATCCAGTCAGCTGCACAACAGCAAAACATTCTCTAAAACACACTGAACACTCACATTTATATACGAGCCGATCGATAACGGTATTAACAAGCTGAACGTCAACAGGTTACCCACCGTCATAGCTGAAATAAAGGTATTTTTCCTGAAGTAAGGCGCACGAAAAATTGTGCGAGAAAACAGCGAAATTGTGCTAAAAATGTGAGGAAAAAACTCGGAAAAGAGAGGATTTGCAGGCAGAAGCTTGAAGATGTCTTGAGGATGTTTTGTGATGATAAAATAATGGAAGAAATTGCCCTGGACGAGTTTTCGCGTTGCCCAACAACAGCAGCACGTACAGCCGAGGCGATGATGCGTGTAGAGGCGCGCAAAGAAACGGGGCGGAGAGTAAGTGAACGGCTCCGGCTTTGCCTCACTCCTCACTCACGCACAGATACACCACATACACTCCACTCTTCGCATACGGGGGACGGGGGACGGGGGGGGGGAGGGGACGAGGCCCGTGCACTCGTCCACGGGCCCCGTCTCCCCTCCTTAGCTGGTTATGTGTGTGTTACCGTAACAACAGCCCTCTGAAACGTTGAAGCGATTAGCACCTGAGACGAGGCAAGCAGATAATCGTGCGCCTTACTCCGAACATCCGTTGAATCCTCGTGATGTTCGTTGCTATGAGGAGCTTTTTTTCTGAGAAATAAATTGTTGAGAAATTTTCGAGCGCACTTTCTTTGAATGCGAACGACATTTGATTTGAGCCGCTGTTGACACACTTGTCTCAGTACTGAGAGCTATAAAGTAAACACGGATTGTTGTTATTGAAAAGAAAGAGAAGAAAGCAAAGTGAAGGAGTCCTGAAAGTCATATGATGACGTCATTGCTTTGGACAGGCGCCAAATTTGAAATAGTGAGATCCAAGATTTCTTGTTGCAGATTTCAGAAAGTATCAGAAAAATTTAGCTCGCATGGCACAGGCAGAAATTCTAAAAGATTTCGTCAACTTTTCCTTTGTACCTGAAAAAACTTATGGCCGAAGTGAAATCCATTTTTAGCCATACAATGCAAAATCAATTCATCCACTGAAGATAAAGCAATTTTCACAAAGAAAAATCCCGATATGGGCCATCGGTGGCCCACGCTGTTGTCATCCACAGCAATTTTTGTCGCTATGTAACATGGAATCTAATAGATTTCTCCCCTCCACAGTATCCAATAAGCCTTAGGAGCGCAGTTCGTTCAGATTTTTTCTCCTTTTGAGTGCAACCTTCCACGAATCGGCATCCGACATAAAAAATCGGCGAAAAAAGATGTGAAGAAAGCCTAATATCCGTAGAAAGCAAGAATATTCAGTGACTAGCGTGCTTTTATTGGCGAGTAAATGCAATCTATTGAAGCTAAGTGTAATGCTAATTCAATTTCTGCACCAAGTGCAACAAGTTTTATCGACAAGTGGGTAAGAGGGTGATATAATTTGCGAGTAACAGGTTTGGACTGACCAGCCCATTTACGACAGCGTGAGCCACCTGTGTCCCATGTCACTTGAAAATTTTTGTTTTGAGATTCATATTCTTCCGAAAACTTGCAGAGGAGATGGTCAATAATTCGCTCATTAACCCATGCACAATATTCCATGAATTTGGAAATGTGCTAATTTTTTTTAAAGAAATACCGCCAGCGCCGAAACGTGAACCGAAAAAAAGCACATACCAAACTTGGCTGAGGCTGGAAGAAAATTTGGAAAACGTGACACGTTTCTATAAACTGCAAAGCCTTTGCTGACTTTAGTATCACTTAATAAACCGGTTGCCTATGCTGACCCAAATCATTAGAAATGCAATCGAAATAGATGTGAAAATTGTGCTGTCAATGGCTTAGAAGTTTCCTTGAACTATAACCATCCTTACTTAAGCATAGCCATAATTTTCGAATTTTTTGCAGATGAGAAAAAAATGTTTTAGATGTTCAAACACATGAAAGAACTAAGTTCTTGTAGTTTTTCGAAGTAGTGCTTAAAACTTGAGGATAGCTAATAGAAAGAAGCCTTTCAACGAGGAGATTTTTTTGTCTTGAAAAGAGCAGAACGAAAAAAATTTTTCCGTATCTTGAGGAAGTGAAAGGAATCAAGAGGGAACCACCCGACAGAAATCAAATACACTAAAGCCCCCGCGAAAGAAGGTCAGCTGCTGCCACATGAGTTCATCTCTCATTCTCGCTTTCTCTCGTCTCGGATAGAAAGCAGAAAACAGCATCGTTCCCGATTTTGACGAACGAATCGTCGATATTCTCTGCTGTGTGTGGATGTTGTGAAGACGGATAACAAGCGCAATACTCACTATACACGAAAACAAAATCGAGAAATCGAATTCGCTTCGTCTATGCGCTTTTCTCACATATACTCGCATATCTTCTCTTGCGCAGTACGATCGCTAATGCATGAGCGCTGAATGAGAAAAGAGAATACTAAACTTCATATATTACTCTTCAGAAAGAAGAGGGAGGGGGGGGGGGTAAACATTCAGACGAAAAGGTATGAATGATAAAAGCATAGTAATGTATAAATCCACTGACAGCGATGTGGACTTCCGGTGCCCGCGCACTTTTTGCTGCCGGGACAATTGACCACCGGTGGGCTACACCAAATCTAAAGACATATCCTTCCCAGGTCCAATATTTTTGGAAATTTAACTCGGGCAGCCTATGGGCTCTAGGGGACTGTAGACGCAGTCGTTCAAGAAAATGTTGGCAATTGTTTACAAAACAACCCTATATCTCATAAATAATGGCGAAAAATTCCCACGCCCAAAGTGTTGTGCAATATCGCGTTGTCCCACAATATCGCCATGCAAAATTAGGCGTCGTAAGTTTTGCAACTTTCTTTATAAGTTTCCCCTTTTGTTATGCAGCACCAAAATACTGGATATGAATTTGGCATCATAGAAATGCAAACTGCTCAATTGTGATCAGAAAATGTTGATTGATACAAAAAAATATCGATAAACATGACGTCAGCTTTCATGATTTGTAGTTTTCTAATCTTTGCCTTCTTATCTCTAACAGCTGAGTATTAATCTTGCATTCCAGTAATTATACTGACAAGGATGATTGCGTCATTGAATAATCGAAAGTATTAAGAGAAGATAAAAAATAAAAAAAATAAACCACCCACATGGCGAAATATATCTGAGCAACTTAAAAAAACTAACATATAAATTCTTTCTTCAAAATATGATTTATGCAACATAAAAAGCAAATGGATCCTCTCTCACAAGGAAATGAAATCGAAAATATGTAAAAGAAACGTTATCTTAATTTCAAATGGTAGAAGTGAGTTCATTTCGTGCATGATTCAAATTAGGGGAGATTCAGGTGTAAACGATTATGTTTGAATCACGAACAGCGTGGTACATTTGAGCCATGGTACATCTTTGAGCCATCCTTCTCGGCTCACCTGTGAGCCGTGTTCACAACGGTACGCAAAATTGCGCAATTCGCCCAAAAAATTGCAAAATTTGCACTGCATCCGAGGAAATTGCAATGTTTGTGTAAATAGTAATAAATATATACAATATAGCGTGGCATATGCAATAGAAAAATTTGGTGCAGATGAAAATTACGAAGCCTGTACAGTCGTTAGCAAAGCAAACATGATTACATGCAATCTTTTTTCCAGATTAGAAGGTATGCACTACTGTAATACCTAATCAAATATGTCGTTAAGCCGTAGGTATAGGCTTTATAAGTAGGCACAATTTTAGGATATTATATTACGATAATGAAAAAATTGAACTGAAAATCATAAATGAAAGCTTAGCAAAGCGCGTCACGAGATGAATCGCACATATTTTGACGAAAATAGAAGCGTTAACCGCGTTGTACATACGCTTGACAGCATCATAAAAACTCAGAATAGAATCAAATGAGTAGCGATGAGCTCTTAATTGAATGCAGTGAAGAACCGGAATGTGAAGCGTTTGCAGGTGAAGTGAGAGAGAGAAAGAGTGACTCGGTTGAATGGCTTCACTGACGCTAATAATGTCTGAGACAAGAATACAGTAGGGTAAATGTGTCGAAGTAATTGCAAAGGTAAGGTAGGTTACATTATATTTAGAATTAGTATAATTGTCATAGATCTTTGAGAGCAAGACGTGGGGAAAAAATGATTTTGCTCAGAAATACAAATTCGACTTCAAGATCCACTGTCTGAATTTTCAAAGGTTTCTAGACCAAGCACAAAAGCAAGATTCTGATTAGTCAAGGGGGGGGGGGGGGAGAAGGCAATAAATTACTTCTACGACAATTTCGAAATGAGTTCGTTGTAAGACAAATAGGGATGATGCAAATTACTGAAAAGTTCCCTGATGCCAACTATTAAAATGATAAAAAATGGGAAAATAAATAATAAATAAAATATAAATAATAAATAATAAATAATAAATAATAAATAATAACAAAAAAATCGGGCAATTTACTAAGAAGTTCCTTGAACTCCAATTGGTTGAATATGATTGAAAAAACCCTCGATGACAGAGAGCAGAACAATATTGACGTAAATGCCATTCTGAAATGGAAAGGAATATATTTTTAAAAAGTTGAGGCCATCATCAACTAGAAGCAGATTTATAGTGGGCTTAGAAGAGAAAGAACAAGCAAAATTACGATAGCAGTTGATAAAAAAAAGATAAAGACCTCTAAAGTAAAAAAATACATCAGAAAATGCAGGAAAGAGCAAAGACGATAAGTTCATGGAAAATTCACACAAATTTTCTAGGAAAGCCTGGAAAACCAATAAAAACTTTGCAATACATGACTGTACCAATGCCAAAACGCATTTTATTTGTACTCAACTAAGAAAATGGTAACAACGAATGGCGAAATGTGGCAGTTGGCTGTAGAAATCAATCACATTATCAACGGTTAACCAGCCAGACCGGTTGCGCACATTGACGACGCCTCAGCGCAGAACGTGGAGCGACAAGACGCGGTATGCGTATTCACAGTTCCCCCCCCCCCCCCGGTCCTCACTACCCGTCACTCATACAATCGCGACGGGGGGGGGGGGCTACGCATCTAAGCTTACGCAACTGTTTTATCGCCCACCTTGAGTGAGGTCAAGTGAATGTTATGAAATATGCA